ACTTGGTGAAGAGTCAAACAAGGTTTGGAAAAAAGACAAGAACATTAGTTGTCTCTTTTGGAAAGCAGAGGTAAGTAATGGCCACGTGAGTGGCATCATGGGACTGTAGAAGGGGTGCTGGACTTAAGAGTCAAGAAATCTGGATTCAAATCTCACCTCGAGAACTTATTAGCTACGTGGCCTTTCTCTAGGTCTTAGTTTCCTTCTTTGTAAAACAGAGAAAATGCTGCCTATGCTACTTTCCTCACAAGGTTGTCATGAGGCAGTACTATGAAAATATGGGATAAGAACAGAGACTGATCTGTGAGTTTTACTGAGAGCGAGCTTCTGGTGAGGAAATTCCTGCTACCAATACAAGCTGGCACTCTGCTGCAATGTCTAGTCTTAGGGAGTTGTGTGGAGCACCAAAAGGCTGAGTGATTTTGGAGGGTCAGAGGAGTGACTGGAACCTAGGCCTTTTTGCTCTGAGGCTTATCTCTCTACCCCTTATACTACATGCTCTGACTTTTTTTTTAAACCATGAGAAGTTTACATTACAAGAATGTGGAACCATAGGAAGTGTATGACTTGTTCTTTCCCCACTTTCAGTAAGAAGAGAATTTAGAAGCAAGGTGTTCAAATTTCAGTGAGGAAAATACAGGTTAGTATTGGAACCCCAGAACCAGAGCAAGGATGCATATAGCTTCCTGACAAAAAGAACAGCAGAACATCTCAAGGGGTGAAGGGAAGAGAGAAAAAAAAATGTTTGTTATATGAACAAGATAAGAAAAGAAAAAAGAAGGGAAGGAAAAGAGAAAGAGAAAGGGGAAGGCAAAGGAAGATTAGAGAAGGGAAGGAAAGGCAAGGGGAAGTATGGTAAAGGAAGGGAAGGAGAAAGGAAAAGAAGGAAAATGACGAAAAGGTGTGACTTCCTCTCAAGGAAGATTGCAAAGTCTCCTGCCCTGGAAAGTTTTAAGAACAAAAGCAGCACCCCTCCCCCCAGGGATGGCCAGTGCCCAGTCTAGCCTGAGCTTTACTCTTCCTTCTTCATTCAGAGGTAGCCTCTATCACTATAAATCACAGGGTAACCCATACCATAAGGTGCAGTCTATAGGAGGTAGTACGGCATAGTGGAAAGGGCATTCCCTGCCTTTGGGGACAGAGGATACGGATTCAAATCCTGGCTCTGCACTGTGTCTTCTCTCCTCACCCTCATCCCCAAGACATACTCTCTCCTTCCTTGGAGCAGCAAAGGGGTGGAAGAAAGAAGGTTGGACCCAGAGTCTGCAGCCTCTGCCACACTCCTTGGGTAACCTTTGGCAAGTTCCTTAAAGCTCCCTAGAACTCAGGGTCCTCATCTGTACAGGAGGAGGCACAGTTGAACTAAATGGCCCCTACCATCCCTTCTGGATCTAAATCCTGTAATCCTATGTACATTCTTATTAGTTCATCATTTGGGTCCATCAAACTGCCAGGGAGTATTTATAGGAAACCTACTGTGCGCCCCATGTTGCCCTTGGGTAGCTCTTAGCTATAGGAGATAAAATATCACATTGAAAATAATACAGCTAGGTGGTGCAGTGGATAGAACACCAGCCGTGGAGTCAGAAGGACCTGAGTTCAAATTCAGCCTGTGACACACGATACTCACTAGCTGTGTGACCCTGGGCAAGTCACTTAACCCCATCACCTAGCCAAAAAAACCAAAACCAAAACAAAAGAAAAAGAAAATAATAATGAAAGAAAAGACACTGCCCTTCAAGGGTACCCATCCTGGGCAGTGGAAGGGTGATGCCCACCCTCTCCTAGGGGAATGACCAGGCATCACAGGATGCCATTCCAAGGGGAGAAACTTCTAGGATGTTGGCTGAAGAAGAGAAAAAGAAGTCTCTGGGGCTATAACTTCACATAGATTATTCTGCCCTTCAGCGTCACAGCCAAGACCAGGCTGGGCTCCTGAGAAGACTTTGAACTTGACACCAACGGCTTTCTCTAGGCTCTGTAAATGAAGCTGGGTAGAAGATAGAGACCCAGTAACCAGAACACTAGGTTGGCACTACAAGCCAAGATCCCAAGTTCATTCTCTTTTTCTTCAAAGTGTACTTGACATCTAGCAACCTGAGAGCCCTGGGTCATCCAGCTGAGTTTCAGATTCTTCTCCTGGGCCAAAGGAGGCAGATTTCCAAGTCCGCTCTCCATCATCCCTCACCCCTACTCATAAAGAGAAAATATAAATCCCAAATCAGATCTTGTGCTGGGACTATTTCCTCAGAACATTGTTAAATGAAAAAGAGACCTCCCTCGCCAAAATAAAATATTCAGAGCAGTTTTATGCATAGTAACAAAAAAAGCAGTTTATTCAACTGTGATCTAATCAAAAATAATAAAAATGAAGAGTCTATATGGTGGCATAAGTGGAAAGGGTCTGTTAGGTTTAGAATCAGGGGAATCACAGAATTTGAGAGTTGGAAGGCATGTCCGAGACCATTGACTTCAGCCCTCTCATACACAAAGGGATCCCCACTATAACATATCTGATAACCTTTGCTTGAAAATCCCCAAGGAGAAGGAAATCACCAGCTCTCTAGGTGAGCCATTCCACTTTGGCACAGCTCCTATTATTAGGAAAGTTTTCCTGATGTTCAGTCACCAAAACCAGCCTCTGCAGTTTCCGCCATTCCCAATTCTTCCCTCTGATCCCTCTTCTACATGAAAGTCCATTAGATACTTGAAGACAACTACCATGTCTCCCCTGAGTCTTCTTTTCTTCAGGTTAAACAGGCTTCCTTCAGCTTATTCTCACACATCATGAAGTCAAGGCCTTTGGCCACCCTGATCGCCCTCCTCTGGACAGTCTCCAGCTTATCAATATCTTTTTTAAACCATGATACCTATAACTGGACACAACACTCCAAGTGAAGTCAGACAGAGGCAGAATACAGTGGGATTATCACCTCCCTATTCCTGGAAGCTATGTCTTTCCTAATGCAGTCCAAGATAAAGTTAGCTTTTTTCAGACTGCCATAGTGTATGGCTGACTCAGATTGAGCTTATAGACCACTAAAACCCTTAGACTGTTTAAAGAACAATCTCTCTCTATCCATGCCTCCCCCATCTCAGGTTGGAGGAGCTGACTTTTTGTCCTCACATGTAAGACTTTACATTTATCTTTATTGAATTTCATCTTGTTAGATCCAGCCCCAAACTGGGCCACTTACTCCCCATGTGACTTTGGACCAGTCACAATCTTCTTGGGCTCTGATTTCTTCATCTGTCAAAGGGGGGGGGTGTACTAAATGATCTCTGAGGAGGAGGAAGGAGGAGAAAGGGAAAGGAAGGAAGGAAGGAAGGAAGGAAGGAAGGAAGGAAGGAAGAAGGAAGGAAGGAAGGAAGGAAAAAAGGAAGGAAGGAAGGAAGGAAGAAGGAAGGAAGGAAGGAAGGAAGGAAGGAAGGAAGGAAGGAAGGAAGGAACTAATCAGCCACAGACCTACCAATCACCATATTTTAAAAACCAAAAATACTTTATAAGTGCACAGACAGATTTAGAAGAAGCAGAGGGAAAATACGTTGCTATTGTTTTCTAAAAACCAATTTTTTCCCCCTTTTAGTCAGAATATAAAACACCTTAAATTCTAAGGCAGTTAGGTGTCACACTGGACAGAGTGTTGGACCTTAAGTTAGGAAGATAGGAGTTCAAATATAGATTTAGATACTACGTGATTCTGAGCAAGTTACTTAACCTCCCCCTTAGTTTTCTCATCTGGAAAATGGGCATAATAATAGCATCTATCTCCCAGGGTTGTTATCAGTATAAAACAAGGTATTTGCAAAGTATTTTGCAGATTTTAAAGCTAGCTATTGTTATTATTTTACTTGGAGATTCCTTTCATTTTTAGTTCAATTAATTATATTTGCTAAATTTTACTTTAAAATTACTTAAGATTAAAATTCAGAAAAGAGAAGGAAAAGATGCACCTGGGAGCCTGAACAGACACCTTTCCCTTTATTTATCTCTCTCTCTCTTTTTTTCTAATTATTGAGATAGCCAAAAACATCCTTTCCCCTTCACCTCTGATTCCCAGAGTACCCTGGGTCTCTTTAATTGACTAAGAGACCCAAGGTTAGAGGGTTTGTGTATAAACTCTGGGCTAAGAACCCTGGCTCAAACCTCTAACACTTTCTCCTACCCCACTTTTTAGGGGCATTGGGATGGAAGCAGCTTCCAGAGGCAGTCCCATTTCTGCCTTTCTGGGGCTCCTCTGCCTGACTAGGCCATCTGGGGTGAAGACAGAGGAATGAGAAGAGAACCTGAAAGACAGCTCCAGACACCTAGATCGGCTCTGATTCTAGGTCACCTGGATCTGGAAGTGAGAGTCTGAAAGAGGAGATAGACTCAGGAAGCAAAATGTGGCAGGAGAATGGACATGCTACAGAGCCCTGGGACGACTAGAGAAAATGTCTCAGCAGTTCTGGTCAAGATGCCCAAGACAGATTGGGGAGGAGGGAGAGAGGGTAGATATCTTTACAGGAGCTCACCATTTTGCTGTCCTTCATGGTTCACAAAAACACTTTCCTCACAACAGTCTTCTGAGGTAAACAGTTCAAATATTATCCCCCTTTCACAGAAGAGGAAACTGAGTCGGGGGAGGTGAAGAGACTTACTTAAGGTTACAAAGCTGGTAGTGTGAGCGCTCAAACCCTGGTCTTTTTTTTGCAAAAACTTCCTTTCCCGCTCCGGAGGGGGCTGGAGAAGACTGGAAGCCCAGACCACAGTCCCCCACGTGCACGCCCCCACCCCGAGCATCCCGAGTGCTCGGAGACATGGCTAGGGATAAAGGGCGGATCCCGGCTGAACCTGCCTCCTGGGCAGCGGAGCGCGGCTTCTAGAGATCTTAAGTTAGGATAGGCTGGGGATGGAGGAGGAGCAGCTGGCAGGTGGCAGAAGGCGGCAGAAGAGCGCACCATCCCAATCCCCCCAGCCCAGCCCAGCTAAGGCCCCTGCTCCCAGCCGGGCCCCTCACCTGGTAGTTATCCAGCTGCTCGTCGGTGAAGATTGTCTGCTTATTCCCCATCTTAGCCGCGGAGCCGGGGCTCGGCCCGGGCCAAGTCTTCCATCAGAAGGCGCCCGCTGGCTCTCGGGGACCCCGGGGTCCGAGCCACTGCGGCCCGTTCAGACGGACAGTGCCCAGTTCCTAGGTGTCCCTAGTGCTACCTCTCACTCCGATCGCCCCTCCAGGGGTCAGGGGGGCGGGAGTAGGAGAGGGAAGAAGATGGGGAGATGGCTGGAAGGGCCGGGGGCCGAGGGTCAGTCCAACGGGCGCATCCCAGAGGACCCTCGCTGCTGCCGCTGCCTCTGACAACGCCACCGGCTTGCTATGGCTTCGCCCAGGAGGGCTGGAACCAGAAGGACGGGCAAAGAGGGGGGCTGCCGGAGGGCGAAGTGTGCCCGCAGCCCCGGACAGCTCCGGACAGCTCCGGAGAGCTCCGGCTCCTGGCCTCCTCGCCAAGGTCCGCTAGCTCAGGGAGCCCGGGCCTTTGGGGCCGCCCAGCCCGGGGAAGGGGAGGGGAGCAGAGGGCGGGGCTATGCCAGCCCGGCCCCTAGGCTGCCCCTTGGCCAGACCAGGCTGGAGGCTCCGCCTCCAGAGAACCTGAGCTAGCAGGCAGACGCCAGAGGGGAGAGGTCCGTGCGTCCTCCTCTTCCAACACCTACATTCCGTGGAGGTCTCTGACACCCCCTTTCGCAGCCCCCACCCAACGTACCTCCCCACTTTGCATCCTCCTATGTCTCAACACCCCTCAGCTCCAGAGGGGGTCTGCAAGCAAGGGTGTCTTGTCTCCACCCCAACTTCATTCAGTTTCTGCTCACCTTTTGCCCCAAACGTTGTCCTTAGCCTCCCTGCCTCCGATCTCTGCCCCCTCCAGTGTACCCTCCACACTGCTGTCAGAATAAGGCTCCTAATGGAAAACCTGGCTATGTCACTGACTATGACGAGGCTCCCTATTGCCTCTAGAATTCACACACACACACACACACACACACACACACACACACACACACACACGCTCTTGCATTTTATTTATTAAGGCCCTCCCTACAGTGATCTAATCTATCTTTCCAATCGATCAATTGGCAGCTAAGTGTCACAGTAAAGAAAGCGATGGGGCTGCAATCAAGAAGGTCCCTTAACCTCAGTTTCCTTGTGTGTAAAATGGAGATAATAGTACCCCTCCCAGGGTTGTTTCAAGGAGCACTTGGCACAGTTCCTGGCACATAGTAGGCATTTAATAAATGTTCATTTGCTTCCTTCCTTCCAATAAGCATTCAAATGCCTGTTATGTGCCAGGCACTGTGAGAGGCGCTGCCGAATAACAGATTGAGTGCCAGCCTAGGACTAGGGTCCAAGTGATGCCTCTGATACTGAAGGCTGTGTGACCCTTGGCCCCTTGGTGCTCTCAGACTATAGCTACTGAGGTGCCCACCCAGGAAATCACAGGCCCCCTCCCAATCCCTATTCCCTTCAAGCACCCCATGCTCCAGCCAGCAGGGTCTGCCGGCTGTTCCCCCATCTTATCCTGCTTTCTTCCTCCCATGGACCAGCCTGAGGGGCCGATCCTTCCTTAGGACTGCCCCCCCCAATGTGTGTCTATTGGTACCCACTCTCTTTCTTTAAGGCCCAGCTCATCCTCCACGACCCCTTCCTGACTCTCCCAGCTGAATGTTTTGTCTCTCTTCACATTTTCCTGAAGGATTTTGTGTGGATTTCTCCCTGATTTGTAGTCCTCCTATTAGATTGTAAGCCCCCCTGAGCTGTTTTCACCTTTGTCTCCCTAGAAACCAGGACGGAGGTGTGTAAGTACTAAATAAATGGTTGTTGGAAGCATCTCTGGCACCATCCCTGATGTCACTAAGAAAGCCAAACTCAGGGGTGCTAGGTGACACAATGGATAGAGTACTGGCCCTGAAGTCAGGGGGACCTGAGTTCAAATCTGACCTCAGATCAAACACTCAATGCTTACTAGCTGTGTGACCCTGGGCAAGTCACTTAACCCCAATCGCAAAAAAAAAAAAAGCCAACCCCAGAGCCAGAGAGTTAGGCATGACTGCCTCCAGCTGGGCCTTGCCAGCTACTCAGCCTGCAGGGGCAGAGCATAGGCTGGCCTGAGGGAGGTTTTGGACATCATGCGCTGGTGAGAGGCGAGGGGTAGGCCGAACCTCCTCCTTCCAGTGGCTTCCTCTGGTGCAGAGACAGGAGGAGGGGAAGATTCCTCATGGCCCTTTATGAGATTCTCATGCCCATGGGAGGTGCTCATACCCAGGTTAGGATTCCCTACCTTATTTAGAATTCCCAGAGAAGGTAAGCTCCTTCAGGGTAAGATGTGCAGGAAGTTCTCTTGTCATTACATCCCCAGTGCCTAGCAAAATGCCCGCCACGTAGCATCAATGCGGGACGGATATTTTTGCTGTTGCTGTTGTTTCCTCAAACCCAAATCCACCTTTCTACAACTTTCTATCCATTGCTCCTTGATCCGATTCCTCTTCCACACAACGATCCCTCAAAAACGTGCAGGCGGCCATCATGTCCTATCTCCCCCAGCCCGCCCACGGGCAGGGGTTAAATATTTTCAGTTTCTCAGAAAGTATGATCCCAAAGTCCTTCCCATCCTCTTCAGCTTGCTGATGTTCTTCCTAGATTATGGTACCCAAGACTGAATGCCATAGTGTTACTTTCGTAATCTCCCCATATCTCTTTGGCTGTTCGTGCCCTGTCTCATTCTACCAGGACAGTATATCTAGCATCATTCAAGAAAGAAGACACTCTACTTCCAGCTGACCAGTCTGAACCTCCAGGGAGGCAGAAATAATACCAGGATGAAGGAAGATGTTTTACCAGATTAGTCCCTATGGTAGAAAGAGTACTGGACTTCAAATCAGGAAAAACCTGGGTCGGAATCTTATATTTGACACTCTATGAGTTTAAGGAAAATCACTTAACTGAGATTCAGTTTCCACATCTGTGAAATGGGAATAATACATGCACTACCTACCTCACAAGGTGATTATGAGGGAAGTGCCTGGCAAACCTCAAAGGGCTATAAAAATGTGAATTATTATTAGCAAAGATTAATGGAAATATCCCTTAAGAATATCCAGTTGATAGCATTCTTAATTCTGTATATCACCCACATGTCACACCTAGCTAGCCTCTGGTCTGACAGTCAGATTGGATTCCTATCATGGTGGATCTAGAGAAGTAATTCTCCCTTTGGCTGATTTTGTCTCCAGCCAGATTTGTAAGCTCTGGGAATGTCTCTAGTTAGCTCCTTTCTGGCATTCTCAGTCACTGCCATTGCTAGCAGAGGTCCTAAAGGCACTGAAACATCAAAGTATTCATTGATGATGGAGCTGGCACTGTGCCCAAGGCCTGAGCTATCCTGATTGGTGTCTGAGCTTTCCTAACCATCCTATGTAGTCGGTCCCAGACCATGCCTCACATCCCACTGAGTCATTCACCGGGAAACCAGAACCTGCACAGTGAGAATATCTTGCCATCTGTGCTGCCACTGTGTGTGCTGAAATAATCAGATTCATTCTGTGTCTTTTTTTCAAATTGATCCTATTTTCTATTAATTGATTTTGTCCTATAACAGCCTAAGTCATGGTTCTTTGTCTCTGAACTTAGTTCAAAAGTTCAGCTTTTCTGTAATGAATTAAATTTAGAAATCCAATTCTCTTATTAATCACTGTTCTATTTTTGCCTTGGGAAAACCTGTTATCCTCAAGATATGTGGACAGACACCAGGAAGTCTGTCTAGTATCTTTACACCACTGAGCTATCCTTCACAGATTCCTGGTTTGCTATCCAAAGAGGTCTGGTCCACTATCTCTAAGCTTGCAGGTGGTCTCAAACAATGAACATTTCTTAGTCACAGGAAGAAGGAGGGGGGTGCTAGCCCCTCATTCCCAATTCCAACCAATCATATTGTTTCCCATGCCTCAGCTCTGTAACCAATCATGCTGATTCACCGCTCATGACCTGGAGCTCTTTCAACCAATTATAACTTGTTCCCCGCCTATGAAGTTCTGTTCTTTGTTCTATACTCCCCAAAACTATAAGAGAGAGCTCTATCTTCCTCATTTGAGGTCGTAGCTTTGCTAGGGAAGCTAAGATCCCATTTATTGGTAAATTTATGCTTTACTAATAAATTGATCATGCCCAGAACTTTATGCCTCAGTCTATTTTAATTTTAACTGGTACAATGTACCCCACCATCACCCCATCTGTACCTCTCACACTCAAAGCCATTGTTTCTACTGGAAACTGTTCTACGTCCCCCATGTCCTACGTCCAGTCCCCGTTCCTGTCAATCCCTAGACCAAAACTCCTTTCCTCGACTACTGCATCTAACGTACGTCTGTCTGTCTGTATAAATGGACTCCCCCATTTAGAATGTAAGCTCCTTGAGGGCAAGAGCTATCTCACTTCCATATTTATACATGGTGCTTAACACACGATGGGCACTAAATTGATTCAAATAAATAGGAAAGGAATAGGAAGGCATCTGAGTCCTGTCCCTATATCCCTGGCCTTCTAATTCTCCTGCACACCAAAGCAGTTTGAGCTTCCATCCTCTCTAAACACTTGGTATAATCGACATCAGGGCAAAGTCTCTCTGCCACTGGAAGGGAGATTTACAAACTGATGGATGGACAGTGTCACTCTACTTGGATTCTGAGCCATTTGCTGGATGTCCTCACTGTCCCAGTGAACTCCATGTGCCTGGGCTGGCTCCTGGTTCTCCCCATGGCTACCCTCTTCACTTCAGCCTGTCTCTCCTCTCCTCTTAGGGGCCCCTTCCTGGGGACCTCTCTGCCACAGGCCTTGGGCACACAGCAATCTGGGAAATTTAGTTGTCTCTTTCCTTTTACATATTCTGTGGACCACCTCCCCCAATCATCTGCCCCTGCACAAATTGACAGAGGGAAAGAAAATGCAAAGTAAGATTATTTTATAGGTTATATGCTACAAACATTCAACAAAGAACCTTCTTAATGAGCAGTTTGGTGTCCTAAACAGGCCCCCTTACTGGATAGGGAATGTCCTGGTCAGCCTGGCAGCCAGCCAGGCATTCTTCTCATCATAAAAGAGTAACTACCTTCTGACACCATTCCTTTGAGTCTCATCAGTTTTCTCCCAGGTTCCTCTCTTCAATTCAAAAGGCAGCTCGGTTGTGCAGGGGTTAGGGCTGGGCCTGGAGTCAGGAAGACCTGAGTTCAAATCCAGGCTCAGACAACTAGCCATGTGACCCTAAGCAAGTCACTTAACCCTGTTTGCCTCAGTTTCCTCATCTGTAAAATGAGCTGGAGAAAGAAATGGCAAACCACTCCAGTATCTCTGCCAAGAAAACCCCAAATGGGGTCAATGAAGAGTGAGACTTGACTGAAAACAATCAAACAACAACAGCACCTCTCTTCCTGGGTTGTTGAGAAGATAAAACGGGATAAAATATGTAAGGTGCAGGTTTTCTTCTTATGGTCTATTTCTTCTT